TTGACAGCGTTCCAAGCCGCATTTGGCCACACGAGTTTTTGAAGTAAATTAAAGTAAATAAGGCGTGCAAAGCAAGCGTGCATTGGGCCAGCGCCTTTACACACCGAAAAAATTTAATAAAAACTCTCAAAAAAACAAAATCGCTACAGCGAAAAAATGGTTTGAAAAACCGCATAAACTCAAACTCGCATAAAAATAAACCGCATAAAAAGAGACCTAAGTGTATTTTATATTTTTTGATTGGAAAACTCGGCTTCGCTTCAAGAGATTCCCAATAGTAATACCCAGTTGTTTATTTAGCCATTATTTTTTTTTGCTAATATATTTTTTCACAATTAATTTAAGATCTAAGTTTCAACCAATCGTATAGAATTCTTTGATTACGATATTGATTTTGTATATAAAAATCCCATTATTCAAGTTCTTTCAAGAATATTATATTTGTCGGGCCGGTTGTAAATTTCTTCTTTATATATTAGATATTATGAATTATTTTAAAGAAAATAACCGGTCAAGTGATGATCTTACCAACAAACAACATTACATTTGCATATACATATTTGTGTTAAAAATCAGTAGTCACTTAAGTCGAATAACCAAGGCCCATTCGAGCCCAAGCGTATTATTTAGACCAGGACATGGTTCTTATAAGATGCAATGGACAAGAAAATAGCCTAATAGTACTCTAAGAGAACAACTAATCATTCTATTTAATAACCTAAATTTATTCCACATTCAGGTATGGTTCCAGAATCGGCGAGCAAAATGGCGCAAACAAGCACGCTTACAGTTGTTGCAAGATGCCTGGCGTATGCGCTGCTTGAGCCTTGGTACACCTACAGTTATAGCGGCAGGTACCAACAATTTGTTTAAACCTGAAAATATTTAATTTTAAGTTCACTTCTCAATTCTCAATTCGCTCATCCAGGCGATCGAATGCCAAGAATGCCCGGTGCAGCTGCTTTGAATGGTGCCTCGCCCACTGAATTAACACCCGAAAATCTTACCAGTGACGCACAGCCAAAAGACGGAGGACGCCTTTCCTCGCCCGAGTCAATGCTAACTGCTAATGGGCAGACCATGCCGAGTGATTTTACAATGATGCATCCAGCTTTCCAACAACAACATCAGCAGCAACAACAACAACTACAATTGCAAAAAATTGAAGCAGATGCAATGGATAAAACCAAGAGCGACTCCACAAACGGCAAACACCACCCTAATGGATGTGAGAAAACCTATACCGAACTAAAATTATACAAGGAACAACACGGACACGGTCTAGGCGGTGCTCTGCAATCGCATATGAACATGAATGGTTTAGCGACGGATCCGAGTGCAATGGCCAACGCTTTAGGTCATGGTTCCGATGAGGGATCGGATGATTCTGATTCTGAGGAAATCGATTTGACATCAGGTTCTTGCATAGATTTCTCGAGCAATAAACAGCATTTGCAGCAACAATCACAGCAACAACCATTGGGTACCACAGCAGCAAGCAATGGCGTGCATTAGTATTTACAAAATTGAAATTTGATTATTGAAAATCAATATAAATCCCTTTGGAATGTTCATAGTATGTACATAACTGTACGCGTACATATCGCTTATTTCCTAAGCGACTGTCGCAACTCAAAAAACAAGATATATAAGGGGTATTCCCGAAGTCATGCAAAACCCTTGCACTCTGCACGGATTGCATCGTAAAAACCGGTTTTCCTATGGGACAGCTTTGCAACCTATGCAATCTGCGCACCGTGCAAGGGCTTGGCAAGACTTCGGGAATACCCCTATAGAAAAAAAGAGAAGCATTTTGTCTCTCTACGCGGAGACTACACAAGAGGAAGCACGATGTAAGTAGTAATCCATCATCATTTTCTGCCAAATTTAATTTTGGGTTATAACGGTCTTTTAGTAATAGACCGATATGTAAATTGAAAAAAGTAATTATAAAGTGTATCTATTCTTATTTCTGTACTCTTGAAAATAAATGTGCAGATATGTATCTCTGTATATATGTACATAATTAAAAGAGCATACGATTTTTCTAAGTACCCTCCAGATCCATGAATAGAGCAAAAGATAACTAGTAGATATTTGGCAAAGTCAGTATTTACATCATCCGTTTATTAGCTTATCCATAATTATTCAAGGCTACCACTGAATCGATTGTAGTCCGATTTTTCATGAAATCTACGAAAATGCTATCATCCGTATAGCTACGAGCGCATTTTCGTAAATTTAAGGAAAATCGGGTTACGATGGATTCAGAGATAATTCAGATTACTAGGAGTGCCAGTTACTGTCGAAACTGTAGTTTAAAGGCTGACAGTTTCTTTATAATCCATGTTTTTTTTGTGAAAACTCTTTGATATTTAGTCAGACAAATGACCTAAGCCTGATGCATTTGCCAACAAATTTTGAAACCATAAAAACTCTTCTTAAAGAAGCATAAAAAAAAACACGAAGCAAAACCAAATTAAACACAAAACTTTCCTAAAAAGAAAAAAAATTAAAAAATTCGTGCGCCAGGGCCTCACTACTAAACTGGAATTTCATTTGATTGACCTTATGCTCAGCCTTGGTCTTCGTCTTCATATTCGTATTCATCTCCGCCTTCACTTTCCTAAAAGTATTCGCCTTCGTTTTCTTCTGCGTGTTCGTATTACTCTTCACATTCTACGCATTCATATTCGTCATCATGATTGAATTCGTATTCGTCTTCGGTTCGTATTCGTATTCTCATTCGTAGTCATGTTCGTATTCGTTATCGACCTGTCATTCGTCTTTTTATTGGTTTAAGTAATCGTATTCTTCTTGGGCTTCGTATTCGTCTGCGTCGTCGTATTCGTATTCGAATTCGAAATCGTCTCCGTATTTGTATTCATCATCGAATGCGTCTCCGTGGTTGTCTTTGTGTTCATGATCATATTCGTCTAAATATTCGTCATTGTCTTCGTATTCGAATTCGTCGGCATGCATGTGTTCGTTTTAGTTTACGTCTTCGAAGCAAAACAAAATACGAAAAGCTAACCAATCTTTAAAACATACTGTGTGAAAGCCTGAAGCCCACCACGAACCAGCTGATGGACCTTTTCTGTGTGGCTTCAGACCTGGTAAGTCCGCCATTGATCAGATTTTGACAGCATGGGATGGCAGTGCATCATTTTGCAGATTAGAAAAAGAAGCTAAAGAGGTCTTCGCGTATTGGGACTCACATCACTGTAGGCAGTCATAACTTTGGGCTCGATAGGCAATTGAAGAGCAGAGCCCTCTCTCGACGAACAAATATTATGCTCTACAAATCTCTCATAATGCCCGTCCTTTCATATAGCGCAGAAACATGGACGATGTCGAATATACATAGATGAGAAGGCTGTGAGGCCTATTCTATACAAGAACTATGGCCCTGTTCACGTGAGTGATGAAAATCGAAGAAGATGGAATGACGAACTGTACGAGCTTATTAACGAGGTGGATATATGTATGGATATGTGTATGCGAAGGAGAGAAGCAACTTGCGACAAATGGTTGTAGAGCCAAAGAAGNAGAACTTGATTGAAAGTCCAGAATGGTAAGGAGAATCTAATTATCTTAAAACACCAGGTTCACCATAAACAGCAATCGAAGAAACTCCCCAGGAGAAAAAATAAAATAAATAAATGATAATAATAATAATAATAATAAATAAATAAATAAATAAAACAAAAATAACAATAAAAATAAAAATAATAATGAGAAGAAGTTTGGGAGCTACACATTTTACTAAATCAATTTTCGCTGTGAACTTTTTATTTATCATATTGATATAGGGGAGCGCACTTGTTGATTTTAATACTGTCTCTAAATTTTATGCAGGGTTATTATTTTGCAGTAATATGGGTGATATTCCTTATAGAACTTGACGATTTTCTCAGGAGGCCTTGTTCGATTGATTGGTAAATATGTAGCACTCGAAATTGGACGATTTTTGCTGCCCTAATAAAAGAGTTTAAAGCAAAATCTCGTATTTGACAATCAGTTGTATGGGAGCTGTAACTTGTCGAGCTCCGATTTCGTTGATTCCAACAAATGATATATTAAAAAAGGGCCACCCGCTTACCTAATTTTAGTGGGATATCTCGAAAACTTAGGGAGTATATTGCGCTCAAACATACCTACGGACATGGCTAAATCGCTTAGCTCGGCCTTGTTAACAATCAGCCCTCTTACCTATTTGATTGGTTAGAGATGCATGCTAACGCTCGTTAGAATCCAGGTTCGATCTCTGGCCCGCGTAATATCAAAATTGTATAGGTTTTTTTTTTTGTATAAACGTAAAAGAAAACAGTGCGGAAACAGCTTTGGATTTCCGTTTGGCAGTGTTTGCAGCAATCTCTAACTACTGGTCTGTTCGATAAGCAGATAATTTGTGATAATTGTTTGCGAAAGAAGGAAATATAAATTTTCTCACTTTCCTTATGAAATTATTTTTGACAACCTAATATATTTTGCATGACATTTGTATTATGATATTTTGAGTAAAATATTTGTTTAATAAAATACGAAAGCAACGCTAACCAAACCAACGTACCTAGTAGGGCTTGTAAATTTTTTCGTAAACAACACAAGACTAAAATTCTAAAAATTGCAACAAGGCAACCCTTTAAAAATTAGGACCTTTTAAATTGCATCCCTGTGTTTTGTTTAATATCAGGAGCGTTCCTTATCTCCCAGAAATAGTCAGAAAAAGTCCGAA